CCCCTGTAGCAGTCTATTTTGACGACATTCTTGTGACTGGCGCAAATGATGCTGAGCGCCTTCACAACCTTCGTGCTGTGCTTAGCAAGCTTCAGCAATCTGACCTCAAGCTGAAACTTGAAAAATGCCATTTATTCGTGCCACAAGTTGAGTATCTCGGGCACATCATCAGCAAGAAAGGCCTTTCCCCGAATGTTGACAAGGTAGCAGCCGTTCTGCATGCACCTGTGCCTCAGGATGTTAGGGAACTTCAGGCTTTCTTGGGACTTGTAAACTTCTACAGGTGCTTCTTACCAAATCTTTCATCACTCCTTCGTCCACTGAACTTGCTTCTTTTTGAAGGGAAGAAGTGGGAGTGGATACATGAACAAGATGCATTCAATGCCTGCAAGCACTTGCTGACATCAGCTCCAGTTCTTGTGCATTTCAACCCTGCCAGGCCTGTTTGCCTCAGCTGTGATGCATCGCCTTATGGTATAGGTGCAGTTCTGGCGCACAAAGATGCTGTTGGTGGGAAACATCCCATTGCTTTTGCCTCGAGGAGCTTGTCAAAAGCAGAACAAAACTACAGTCAACTTGACAAGGAGGCACTGGCTTTAGTGTTTGGTGTAAATCGGTTCCATTAGTACTTGTGGGGCATCTCATTCGAAGCACACACTGACCACAAGCCACATCTTGGACTGCTGGGTGCCAACAAGCCCGTTCCCGTGCAAGCTTCGCTTCGAGTGGTCAGGTGGGCTCTGAAGCTTTCTGCCTACAAGTACGAACTTGTATACAAGCCTGGCAAAGAGCTCGGCCGCGCTGATGCTCTTAGTAGACTGCCTCTCCCAACTGACACTACTGCATTACCACGACCTGCTGAAATCTTGTTGCTAGAGGAGGCATATCCGAGACTCCTTTCACCAGGTGTTGTGGCCCAAGCCACACGAAATGACCCATTTCTGGGCCATGTTGTTCTTGCTGTTCTGAAAGGAGAAAGCCTCCCAGTAGGACCAGAGTGGAACCCTTTCAACACCAGAAGCTCAGAACTCAGTCTCCATGAGGGTTGCCTGCTCTGGGGATCAAGAGTAGTGATCCCAAAGTCATTGATGTTCTTCATGCCAGCCACCCAGGTATCGAGAAGAGCAAGATGATTGCCAGGAGCCATGTTTGGTGGCCAGGCATTGACAATGACATTGCCAACAGCTTGAAGAGCTGCGCTATGTGCCAGACTCAACATCGAGCTGCACAGCCGGTTCACCAGACGCCGTGGCCTTTTCCACAGCGACCATGGTCAAGGCTTCACATTAATATTGGGGGACCATTCCTAGGTCACACATTCTTGGTTATTGTGGTTGCGTTCTCAAAGTGGATAGAAGTCTTTCCCATGTCTTCCACATTTGCAGAAGCTACCATTTCTGCATTGAGAATTGCATTCGCCCAGCACGGCCTGCCTGATATCATAGCTTCCGACAACGGTCCTGCCTTCACCAGTGCCCAGTACCTTAAGTTCTTAACTCGAAATGGAATACGCTGCATGCTTGTATTGCCGTATCACCTTGCTTCAAATGATGCAGCTGAACGAGTTGTACAAACTGTGAAGAACAAACTCAAGAAGTCTGGTTCTGGGAACTTCCAAACGCAGATCTCCAGGTTTCTGTTCCACTATAGGACCACACCACATGAAGTGACAGGTCGGCCACCGTGTGAACTCTTGACAGAAAGAATGTTCAAGACTCCGTTGGATGTCCTCAGGCCAAGCCTGCAGGCATCTGTATTCCTAAAACATCTCAAGCAGAAGTTGTATGCTGACAGAGGGTCCCGGCAGGCTCCATCACTGCAGCCAGGTGATGATGTGTACGCGCGAAACTTTCGCAGGGGCACACCCTGGGTGCCTGCCAGTGTCGTGGACGTCACTCCGTCATCAGCCAGTGTCCGTTTTGAAGATGGCACCTTGGGAAACCAACACAGCGACCACTTGCGCCTTGTGCAGACAGAAACATTGGCCTCTCCTGAAACTGCTATCGCTGCAGCTCCACCACAGTTGGAGCCGCCGCTTCTTCATGCGCCAGCTGTTCCAGAAGTGCCTCATCAGGAACAGCTACCTGGAACTAACTTCTCTGGGAGTAGCTGTGCCACGGAGAGCGACGGCACTGCGCTCACCAGTGGTGTGCATGTGAACAGTGACTCTGTTGTGCCTACGCCTAGCACGGCGAAGTTGCGACGTGGCACAAGAACTAGGAAACCGGTGAATAGGTACTCCCCGTAGTCTTCCTCCTAAGAGGGGAGGAGTGTAACAATGTTGGCTCAAATGCAACGCCCCCACGCGGCGCTGATAGTTGTGTTGAGCTGTGCAAGCCTGGCACAGCGGGGGTGGCCGTTTTGGAAAAAATAAACTACAGTTCGTTCTGGGCCAAGGGCTCAACATGTTCTCGTGTTCTTCGCGAGCCTGATCGCCTACTGTTCACGGTAGTCACTACCGCCTGGCCATCCGTTAATCTACACATGTATCAAAAACGTTCCGCATGTTAGCGATAGTGCAGTCCGACCCCTCTCGCCCTTATCTTTTTTTCGGGCGTTTCAGGTTTTGGAGGAGGCGTGGTGCCTCCCGGAGGCCGCCGGGCACTGCGAGTGCCAAAGCACACCTTCGAACTACAGTCGAGCCCGCTTATAACGAACCTGAGCGTGAAGCGGCATATGTTCGCTGTATTCCGAAGTTCGTAGTAAATGACACAGCTTTTAAAAAAAGTTGCGAGTGAAAACAAACTTTTTTTGCCCCAAAAAGTCCGTGATGCACTTGTTTCGAAGAGCAGAAGTGATAAGGGAGGTCTCGAGTTCATTTAAAGTGGCAGGGTGCTCATTCGCCGAGGCCCGTGGCATAAGCTGCCTGAGGCACTGGCTCCTAAGTTTCGTCGTTCTCGCAATCCAATTTCTCTGAATCACTCTCGCTATGTACTTCATTCACATTGCCCCAATCCTTGCACGGTTCCGCAGTGTTATAGTGTACTTTATTCTAGTACACTATAGCAGTGTCGGCATCATCATCGGCCATTATTAAACTATCTCAACAGATGTCCACCCGCTCTTCCAGGTCGGAGTCGACGAGGTGCTGCCACAAATCGCCGCCGCAGTGGTCCTGTTCGGAAGCTTCAGGCTGGGCATCGGGCCTGATGTTATCGAAATCAGCCCCGTGAAAACAGTTTCGCACGCATGTAGCCGTCACCACCACCCACGAAATATTCACCATCTCCACAGCTGAATATCGGGACGCCCGAAGCGGCAAGTTAGCTGCCAGGTGGTCAACGGCTATGAGCAAGCGCTCTGCAACGCGGCATCCAACGCGCGGATTACGCTCAAGCCAAGCCAAGTGGTCACACTTTTGACGTTTTGTTGAGTGGCAGGAAACCGCATGCTAGCCCTCCCGTCAACCATCATGACAACACACGCACACCAAGAGCGAGCAAGACGCGCACACGCACCACACATGCCAGAACGCGCGGAACAACTCTGGGCCCGTTTCTAGTCAGAAAACGAAACTAATTCGAGCCAGCGTGGCGGGCGTCGCGGAGTGGTGGAGATGGGCGAAGGGGTTGTGATCAAGAGAGGAGAGCAGACTTGCGAGAGAAGGGCAAGGAGTTGCGATAAAGACAGGGGAGAATGCAGCGGGAGGGCGACCTTGATAACCAAAACACACGGGAAGGAGGCAGGTTGGGTAGCTTGCTTGAAAGCTCTGCGAAACTGCCACGTAGAAAAACTTGGAAAGAGTGCATGGCCGCCTGAATCGGTGCGCGCGACGGTGTTCGAAGAATAGGTGACGGTGGTCAAAAAAATCATTTTGTTGTGCCGACGGGTATGCGTGGCCTCACGAACTTCATATTTCGCGATGCGTTCCGCGCGTATTAACAGCTGTTTTAGCACTTCTACATGCGTGCGGAGGGCATGCTGAGCAGAGTGCGAATTGAGCGAGAACAAGTCCTAAACACGAAACGAATCGCAAATTATCAGAGCCGGTGGGGTAGCGTACGCGGGTGCACTAGACGTAGACTATCGGATACAGTCGGTGGCCGACGATGTTGGCAAATGGTCTGGTCACTCCAGGCTGGCGACGCCAACGACAGTACCAGCGATCAAAAACAGGGTAGATGGCCAGCTGGTCTTCGAAAGATCGATGGCAGTGTGAAAACACGGGCCTCGTCTAGCGATGCCAGGTGCTCAGAGTAGCGGGGGGACAAAGGGGTGCGTAACAAAAAGCGGTCGGGGAGAGCAACTAGAGGAGTGCTGAGGCAGGGTCGGCGTTCAATAAGAATGTATGGGCACCTCGCCAGTGCCTGATCGGTGGTTGAAATTGGTTTCCCGGAAAGTCAGCAGACCGCCGACTCCGTCCGCTGTAACCGATCAGCGGCGCTCGGAGACGTTCATTGTAAGTGCGATTTTGTGCCATTGAACCAATATATATTTCGACAGTCACGCGGATATTGTTCGTTTTAGGCAAAAGTTCGTTTTAAGTGGGGCCGTTATATGTGGGCTCGACTGTAGTGCGCGAAACCGTGCGGCCACGGAGATCGCGTAAGGGGGCGGGGGCGGCGAGTGCCGAAGCGCACCTTCCAGCTCGTGCGACGCTCGATATATCCAAAGGTGGTTAAAATACCGTTCTAAATAAACGTGCAAATTTCTATACCTTTACAAAATAATTTATTTTGGGGATAACTTGCGAGTTTTATAAACCCAAACATTTGATATATGTGGGTTCGATATAACCGTGTTCGACTGTAATCTGATTATTTCACTTCAGTGCCCTTTAAGAGACACTTCATTAGTGGCAGGGCTATATAATACAGTGCGACAAGGGTGGTTACATAATTGCTCAGGCAATTTCGCATTGTGTTTTTCACAATTTTCATCTGCCAAATTGGGGTTGCTGAAGTTGTATGGGTATAGGAGCAAACACATACATACATTGAAGTAAAAAGCGAACCCGTACATTGTGACTGTATGGGGTGAAGCAATATAGCCAGACTTACAGCTGCTGCTCAGGGAGGACGAGCCAAAGAAAGAGTCACTGTCTCGGACGCGCTGGAGCACTGCATCGAGGAGATCCGTGCGCTGCTGAAGCAGCTGCTGCTGCTGCTGCAAACTTGGTGCAGGGCTGCCCTCTGAAGCCGAGGATGATGACAAGATTTGGTCGACGGAAGAACCCTCCTCAAGGGAACTGAAGTACTCCTCGGCCTCCGTGGCAACCTCCGCACCCTCTGCAATCGAGATGAGTGAAAGCAAATGGTCTAAATTGGCTGGAAATGATCATCTCGGCTGGCCACTGGGCATCTCCCATCCCTACCAGACACGACAATCCGACATACAAAATTAAGAAAAAGGCTGTCCTCCACTCACAAGAACAAGGCTTCCCTTTCGGCCCTGGTGTCGTCAATTGACGACACCAGACGAAATTTCTCCTAGAACCTTGAAGACACAATCGAACTCGCTCATTCTTGGAGAAATATTTCTTCAACTATGCCCACTGCCATCGACACCACCGTTATTTCATTTTTGCGGAGCATGGAGTCATAAACAAGAAGAATCTGGATCGAGGTCATTGGTGATGATGAAGCAGGCAAGCAGAGGCGGCAAGGCGGCACTTTCAGATTGAAGTCCTGAAGTCGTTTCAAGAGCTCTAACACTTTCAAATACTACGTTTGTTCAGATTTCATGCACTCTAGGGCATCGCAGCAATAAATTTGCCATTTTGTCATTTCGTGTTTATAGGGCCATTATGATCTAATTTTATGTCATGACTGTAAATCCATGAATACTTACACTACCGACTGAATGTTTCGTTTGTGGTCTTCTGAGACACTAACTATTAGTAAAATATGGACAAATAATGTGTCTGACAAAAATAAAAATTCCAGAGCTGAAAGGGTTAGCACGAAGCTACAAGGCAAGCCCACAGGATTTTCTCTGTTGACCTTTCACAGTGAGCTCACAGCTCAAAACTTTTGTTTCATATTGGGGTTTCATATTGGGGGGTACCAACCTTGCTCAGGGCTGTCGTCTGCGGAGTCCCGTTGCGCATCTTCAACGTCGCCTGGCTGACAGACAACCAAGTGAGCGCCATAGAGAAGCCGCAGCCGGTCATCCATGTCACCACGTGAGGACAGGGCCAGAATCCGACAGAAGTCGGCCAGGCTCACCCATCCATCGCAGTCGGCGTCGGCTAGCCGGAAAAGGCGCACGCCCAGGCGACGCGGATGCTCCCCACGACTCCACGGGCCTGATATGAGAAAAATTACCAAAACTTTCATCAAAGGCTAGGGGGCTACATTTATGTACCAATAAGAGAGTTAATTACCGCAGGTTCCACGCACCAAAAGTGATACATGACTAAAAGACCCACTGTACTCCTAATTTTGCACCTCAACCTGAGCCAGCTAAGAGCAACATATTAGCAAGAGATCATGGCGTTAGCAAAATTTACCTGAAACAGAAAAGAAACACGATTACAATTACAGTTGATGCCGATTAAAGAGAACCTCGCCCAGGCCCATAGCATATTTTCGTTAATTGCTAAAAGTTGTAGGGTGCTGACTGGATCGTAGTCTGGGCCTTCTTTCTGTACTACACTGTCGAACATCACAGGACTGTTCGCGCAGTTGCCCTGTTCCCCTAAAGCTGCCACTGAAGATTATTACTATTGTAAAGGGGGTTTATTGAAGGACTGAGCAAGCGGGTGGTAGCTCTAAAGGAACGCAGGCGAACCCAGATGACGGTGCTTGATCGCCGATCTCGTGCCTTCTTCTTGTGCTGATGATAGCTGACCTGATGGTATCAACGTCTTTCTTATTCACTACAATTACCCCCGGCGAAAAAGTTGAAGCCATCCTGGCGATCTAACACGTGGGGACAAGCGGGTCAAAGTACGGCTTCAGACGGTTTACGTGAACGATATCACGTCCACGCCGACGACGGTCGCTCGGTGGCGTGAGGGGTTCAATGGCGTAGTTCACGGGTGAAGTACGCTCGACCACGCGGTAGGGACCATGATAATTGGAGAGTAGCTTGGGTGATACACCAGGGGCGCAGGGCGGTACATGAAGCCATACAAGTGCTCCAGGAACGAACGTCGGTGCAGAACGATGGTCGTCGTCACGGATCTCCTTCTGGCGCTGTTGGTCGGATGTAGTAAGCCGCTTGGCTAGCTTGCGGCACTCTTCTGCGTAACGAGCGGCTTCCGAGACAGGCTTGTATTCGGAGGGATCTGGCGAGTATGGGAGTAAAGTGTCGATGGTGTGTGATGGTTCGCGACCGTACAGGAGAAAAAATGGGGAAAACCCTGTAGTGACTTGCGTAGCGGTGTTATACGCGTATGTCACAAATGGGAGAACGAGGTCCCAGTTTGTTTGATCAGAAGCGACATGCGTAGCGAGCATGTCCCCCAGAGTACGATTAAACCGCTCAGTCAAGCCGTTCGTCTGTGGGTGGTAGGCTGTACTCTTCCGGTGAACCATATGGCACTGTTGAAGAAGTGCTTGTATTACATCGGAGAGGAAAACGCGCCCTCGGTCACTGAGAAGTTCTCGAGGAGGACCATGACGAAGCACAAAACGATTGAGTATGAAAGTTGCGACGTCTTGTGCTGTAGCTGTGGGGAGAGCAGCAGTTTCAGCGTACCGTGTTAGATGATCCACTGCCACGATAGCCCATCGGTTGCCTGCCGTTGTTAATGGTAGTGGTCCGTAGAGGTCAATTCCTACACGGTCGAATGGGCGGTCTGGGCATGGAAGTGGCTGCAATGAACCTGTTGCAGGATGTGGCGGGCTTTTCCGCCGCTGACATTCGTGGCAGCCGCGAATGAACTGGCGGACGAAGGTAAACATTCCGCGCCAGTAATACCTTTTTCGTAGGCGCTCGTAGGTCTTGAAAACACCGGCGTGAGCACATTGCGGGTCGGAATGAAACGACGCGCAGATGGTAGAGCGCAGCGTTCGGGGAATGACTAGTAGCCATTTCCTACCATCTGCTGAATAGTTGCTCCGGTACAAGAGGCCATCCCGAATACTGAAGTGCGGAGCCTGGCGGCGCAGGGTTCGAGTGGTTGGAAGTGTCGGTGCCTCAGATAACGCGTCAAGAAGCGAAGCGATCCATGGGTCATTACGTTGTGCAGAAGAGATGGTGTCCTCGTCAAGCGCTGACAACGTGTTGTCCGAGGAAATAGATGCGATGTCCGGGGATAGGGGAGATCGTGACAGTGCATCAGCATCGGCATGCTTGTGGCCGGAACGATATACCACGCGAATGTCATATTCTTGAAGCCGAAGAGCCCAACGGGCAAGACGACCTGATGGGTCCTTAAGCGACGATAACCAGCATAATGCGTGGTGGTCCGTTACTACATCAAAAGCACGCCCATAAAGGTATGGGCCGAACTTGACAAGCGCCCAAACGATCGCCAAGCATTCCTTCTCGGTGACGCTGTAGTTTGATTCAGCCTTGGTAAGAGTTCTGCTGGCGTAGGCGACGACATACTCGGCGAATCCAGGCTTGCGTTGCGCGAGAACCGCACCGAGGCCGACACCACTGGCGTCGGTGTGGACCTCAGTTGCTGCCGTAGGATCGTAGTGACGCAGTATTGGTGGCGAAGTGAGGAGACGACGAAGGGTACAGAAGGCTTGGTCACACTCAGAAGACCATGCCGAAATATCAGTGGTGCTGCCTATAAGTTCGGTCAAAGGCGCAACGATAGAGGCGAAGTTGCGCACGAACCGGCGAAAGTAGGAGCATAACCCCACGAAGCTCCGTAACTGCTTCATAGTCGTTGGTTTGGGGAAGTCGGCGACAGCACGTAACTTAGCCGGGTCTGGAAGTATACCGTCCTTTGATACGACGTGCCCGAGAATCGTAAGTTGGCGAGCAGCGAAGTGACACTTCTTGAGGTTGAGTTGGAGCTGAGCATTCTTCAGGCACGTGAGGACGTGTTTGAGGCGCTCGAGATGTGTTCCAAAGTCTGGCGCAAAGACGACTATATCGTCGAGGTAGCAGAGACAGATTTGCCATTTCAAACCCCGAAGAACCGAGTCCATCATGTGCTCGAAGGTGGCAGGCGCATTGCAGAGGCCGAAGGGCATGACATTAAACTCATACAGACCGTCCGGTGTCACGAAGGCTGTTTTTGGTCGATCGGCATCGGCAAGGGGGACCTGCCAGTACCCTGAGCGCAAATCTAATGATGAAAAAAACTCGGCACCTTGTAAAGTATCAAGGGCATCGTCAATCCTGGGTAAAGGATACACGTCTTTTCGAGTGATCTTATTTAGGCGCCGGTAATCCACGCAGAAGCGAACGGAACCATCCTTTTTTTAACGAGCACTACAGGTGATGCCCATGGACTTTGTGAAGGTTGAATGACGCCACGTTGCAGCATATCGTTCACCTGTTCGGTAATAACTTGGCGTTCCGTCACAGAAACACGATATGGTCGCTGTCGTAGTGGCGCATGGGAGCCGGTATCGATGTAATGTAGAGTGGTAGAAGTGCGGCCAAGTGAAGGTTGAACAACATCGAAAGATTCGCGGTACTGGTACAGCAGTTGGAGGAGTTCAGATCGTTCAGATGGTGACAGTCCGTCTGCGATCGCCGAATCGAACACTTTTGAAGCCTGTAGATGAGAGTGGTTAAGAGCACTGACGGTGGCGAGGTCACTTTGGGATGATTCTTGCGGCACTGTAAAAATTTGTCTGTTATCAATGGGCTGTACGCATCCAAGAGACTCGCCTTTAAACAGTTTGATGGTATGCGGAAAGGGATTGGTAAGGCAGAGAGCACTGGCTCCATCAGAAATTGAGAGGGCTGAATAAGGGAGCAGAAGTGGTTTCCGACTTAGAAAGAGGCGTGATGGCTCGAAAAATGCTACTTCATCACGCATGCCGTCGGATACCACAGGGAGCAAAACAGCTGTTGTCGGTGGAATGTCAGTGTCTTCTTGGACAACTAGCTTGTGCGCGGCTTGATTAGTGTGGTCGTAGGGCTGCTCGAAGAACGGAAGCAGTTCAAGTTCGGAACGGGCACAATCTATAACGGCACGATTACGGGATAGGAAATCCCAGCCAAGGATGACGTCATGAGAGCACGAGGAAAGGACGATAAACTCAACAATGTGGTGGTCCTCCGCAATTTTGAGTCGGGCAGTGCAGGCGGCTATAGGTCGAACAGGTTCTCCATTTGCTGCACGTAAGAACATATCAAGCGGCGTGGTCACCTTTCGGAGCTTGCGGCAAAGTTTGGCGTCTATAACAGACACAGCGGCACCGGTATCCACAAGAGCGTATGCATGGGCGCCGTCTACAAAAACTTCGACGATATTTGACGGCAAGGTGCGAGGACTTGAACATTTCGATAGCGCAGTTCTTGCCCCTTGAACTGCGACGGCTAGTTTCCCTCATTTTGAGGGGCTGGTCGTGGACGCATGGGTGACAAGGAGCGTCGATTGGGTGAAGGTGAGCGACGAGACGAAGTTGCCGGATAGTCACGGGAAGACGTGTTTGACTGACGATCCGAACTTTCATAACCAAAAGGTGGTCGGTCCATGTAATTGCTTCGTGGTCGGACGTCTGTGTAGGCGGGCACGCGACGACGGCAGTATCGGGAGATATGGCCAGGTCCGCCGCACGCAAAACAAATCGGCCGGTTATCGCGCGTTCGCCAGGCATTTGTAGCAAGGGGCGCCGCCCACGCGGCATACGGCTGAGTCGAGGCTGTGGTAGCGAGGGGAGGAGCCCATGCGACGGAAGACTGAGTAGGAGCGGTGACATGCGGCAGTCCATTGAACGGCGAGGGCTGGTGTGGCTGCTGCCTCTTTACTGCGTCAGCATAAGTAAGAGGTGCGGCGACGACTTGCTGCTGAAAGGGCACTGGCATAGCCTCGGCAATCTGGTCCTGAAGTGCATGTCGGAGCATGGGAGCTAACGGTGTCGGTGGTTGCTCTTGCTGCTGCTGCGGGAGCTCTTGGCGCTGACAAAACGGCAGGAGGGAAAGCTGACGTGCGACCTCCTCACGCACAAAGTCTTTCATTTGTGCTAGAAGGCGGGAGTGGTCAGGTACGACGTCCAGTGCAGCGAGTGGTTGGTTAGGCTGAAATGGACGACGGGTGAGAGCTCGTTGCCGTCGCAATTCGTCGTAGTTCTGGCACAGAGTTACCACTTCAGACACCGTGCCAGGAGACTTCGCCAGGAGCATTTGAAAGACGTCGTCATCAACACCTTTCATAATGTGCTGGATCTTGGCACTTTCGCTCATTGCGGCATCGACGCGCTTGCAGAGATCGAGTATATCTTCGATGTAGGCGGTAAACGTTTCGCCAGGTTCTTGTGCCCGTGAGCGCAGGCGTTGTTCGGCGCGCAACTTCCGCACGGCAGGGCGACCGAAAACCGAGGATATTGCCTGCTTGAAAGTGGCCCAGTTCTCAAACTCGGATTCGTGGTTTGTATACCACAGTTTCGCCACATTAGCCAAGTAAAAGTTGACGGTGCTCAATTTAGCAGCGTCATCCCACCTGTTTGGTCCACTGACTTTTTCGTAGGACGACAGCCAGTCCTCGACGTCCTGGTCTTCGGCGCCCGAAAAGATCGGGGGGTCTCGCTGGTGAACCGGGCCGGGGCAAGTAGGAGCCGCGAGAGGTGCTGTCTGTTGGGCAGCGTCAACTTGCATGGTCGACGGCAGCGTGCGGGATCGGAGTTCCAGGGTGTAGGTGATGCAGTTACCCAGCACGATCCACCAAATGTAAAGGGGGTTTATTGAAGGACTGAGCAAGCGGGTGGTAGCTCTAAAGGAACGCAGGCGAACCCAGATGACGGTGCTTGATCGCCGATCTCGTGCCTTCTTCTTGTGCTGATGATAGCTGACCTGATGGTATCAACGTCTTTCTTATTCACTACACTATGAACGCCAACCACACCGGCACTATGCAAGTCAACTACACCGGTACTATGAAAGGCGACTACACTGGTACTATGCAAGCCAACTGCCTACTACACCGGTACCAAAGGCATGCACACGAGTGTGGAAAGGGGGGGGGTTGCCTATATATTCAGAATGACTAAAAGGGGTCGCCCTCTTCTAGTCATCTAAGAGGGGGCGGGAATGCCATGTCAGCTCCATACACTGACATAATAGGGGGGGGGGGGGGGGGGGCACACCAAGATGAGCCTTTGGCCGCAAGAGAACCATGCGCACACTTATGACCGCTCCTAAGCAAGTTAACTACATTGGCCCCCTTTTGGACTCACCCATAGCACTGAGAAAGCTGAGGAACTGGTCCATGTCCAGGTGGAACAGTTGCTCGCCGTAGGGGGCTCCGCTGTCAACATTGGGTGGAGCCACGCCTGGCGGTCCCGTACCCCAGCTGTGCTGGCTCAGCTGTTGCTCCTGCATAATTGTGAAAGTCCTTCTAACTACCTTACCATGCTACGACTTGGATTGCAACAATGCAAAGCGATCAGAGTCAGAGAAAGCTTTTCCACACTGGACATGCAGCCACTCGCTGGACCAATCGAAACCAGACGAAAAAAAACACATAAGCATGTCTGTTATAACTGAAAACAACGTCTGTACATGCTTTGAGGCATTATTAAAATGATGCCGCTGAGCAGGTGCCACACCAATGAAAGCAGTAGAACCCACACGACCAGAACTTTGTCAGGTCTCGCTTTTGCTTCCAAGTTGAAGGTTAGAGCACCTTTGATATGAAGCAGAATGAATTCCACGACATTCTATCGCTTTGCCATGTTATCTGTCTTGGGAGGCTTAACTCTGAAGTTCCGAATTTCAGGAAGCTTCTGCTGGAGTAATTTTCTGGCACAGCATGAAGTAATTTTGGCTGTGTTGTACATTTATTTTTTTTTACTTGGGCACAGCTCAGCGCTGAACTTTTGCTAATGGGACAACTGGTGAAGGTGTTCCCAGAACTCCAAATTTGGCTTTTTATTTGTCAGTGGCTTTTTGTTGTGTCACAGTGTCACAAAAAAATTCATCGACGATTACGATACTGCCTAACAGGAATTCTGAGCACAGCTGTTCAGGTGCTTTGATTTTGCGATAAGTTGAGGCGAATGCTTCTGCTTTCGTAGCCTTCACCTCTGAATTCTGGCATTGTCAAATGAGGCACTTCCACCAGCTGCGTTGCTCACTTTTCAGAAAGAACTGGTTGAGACTATTCGGTATATAGGTAAACGGCTCATATTAAAGAACGCCATGCCTGCGCAGAAGGCGCAGCACAGTCACAGCGAAAGTTAGAAGAACAGCCTTTCAGAGCCTTTTCAAAACACTAGTTGGATCACTACTGCAAGCACACTTGCTTGGTACACACTAGGGCATTAATAATTAATTTTTTGGGGTAGTAGGCCGGCGCTTGCTATGCTATTCTTCGTCATTCTTCTGAAAGGTATGGTATCCGCTAAACACTTGCAAAAAATTTTGTGCTAATTGTTCATGCAGGGGCTGACGCCGATGAGGAATTATGGCTGAAGTGGGTATGTGCCACAGTTAATAGGGGAACAGGAACAAGCTTATGTAATGGGTTGGAGCATTGGACGACCCACTCGTTGCGCTATTCGCATTGTGCGACGGCTGGTTGTTCTTTCGCTGTTTTAAAACGCTTTATAAGTCCTATTAATGCGATTGCTTTCCCGACATCAAGCCTGCGTAAAGCAAGTTTGCCAACACGTCACAAGCACCAGCGTAGCTCAGCGGTAGAATACTGGGCTGGCACCCAGCGGACCCGGGTTAGAGCACCACTGTGTCATTGGTGCTAGGTTTTTTAGGGGTGAAGCTCCTTAAGTTGTGGGTCTGTACATACTCTGAGGTATGTAGTTTTAGTAGTGGGTAGCCACCTCTAGTTTAGTTCTTGCAGTGTTCACTAGATGGCGGTACTTGTAGAGTTGATAAGAATATGCGAGATGCTATAAAACTAGATGACCGTACTTAAAGTGTTCACTAGATGGCGGTACTTGTAGTTGATGATGAAAGATGTGAGATGTTATAATAGGAATGATGTCAAATATGGCGCATGTCATTGGTGGAAGGCAATTGTTTGATTTAATGCGGCGATGTACGCTAGGGAGAGCATTGTAATAAAATTTGTTTGTTGTTGGCTCATGCTTGGAGTCTCTGGATGGGCAAAGCTGCAGAGCGGCGAGCCCGCAAGGTAGCGGCAGCGCGCGCTCGCAGACAGAATCCCGATGTGTGAGCCCGCAAAGCAGAAGCGCGCCGTGAAGCTGTGCGCCACCGCTGCCAAAATCCTGCCGTACAAGAGCGGGAGGACCAAGCGGCACGGCATACACACACAGCGTTTCTCAAGTCTTTCAATGATGATCGACTGGGCAAATTACACGGAAAATTCATGGTTTACCTATAATTTTTTCCGGATCTTTGCCCACTCATCATCATTCACACCGTGGATATGCTGTGTTTTTTTTCTAATTTCGCGTGATGTAATTACGGACACCGACGGCGGCGAATAACAGTGCGTGACCCGAGTTGTGCTCTGCTCATAACAGCTTTCGCTGTAAAAGAGAACACCATCAGTACTGCAATTGGTGCAGACGATTGCGTGCAGCCAATTTCATATCAAACACCACGGACGAAGCATAGCACGACTGACTGGTTCGCCATCTGGGAAACTGTGCAAGGGCGCGTTCCACAACAGTTGACACACAAACTGTGTGCACCACTGTGGTGAAACGAAACCTGTCGTCTCCCTACCATCGTCCCCTCTTCCTGGCACTCTGTCCGCTATCAGCATCTTTCATCCTACGCTGCGCTTCGCGTTCACTCACTTTCGTCCTCATTGGCCCAATCCGTTACACCGACCCCTCTCACCACAGAGAGGGGGCCCCCCAAGAGCTGCATTCACGTCAACACATCAACAAGTTTTAGTTCTGTACATACCCTGATGAGAGCCACCAAATTGCTGAGCTCGTCCTGCGTCAGCAATGCCGAGATGCGGGGGTCCAAGCTAAGGCTCCTCAATGCGTTCTTCACGTTCGCATCTTGCAGACCCTGCGGATAGCGACAAATAGCAAGACAGTCAGTCGCTCCTCGCAGAAGTTCTACAGTGGAACTCTGATTCGAGGAATTGGACATGGCTTCACATACCTTGCACACAGACCAGGCATTACGAAACGAAAAACTAAGAATATGGGCAGTAACGCTCGGTCTTTGCTCAGAAGCAGGTACAGACGACTTAATAAGCCGGCAGCACAAATCTGCACTGCTCCGAATACTAACACGTTGTAAACTACATACAGTTGAATCCCGCTCTAACAAAGTCCACTACAATAAGATTTCTTGCCATAACGAAAAATGCTCGATTCCCCACCAGCTGCTCATAGAAAAACAATGTGAATAATGTCTCATCACAACAAATACTTTTCCTGGATACTACAGCTCCAACGAAATACTCGTAAGTGGCATCATGTAAGTGATAGAAACTAGCCAGTATTGCCATAAAATTCCTCTTGCAACTTCGTGCTATTTTTTTCAGCTCGCGACTTTCAGAGCCGTGCAGCCGCATCACAACACCCATGTCTTCATTGTGTACATGTTTCCTACTACTACATGAGCATGGCAGTAAACTTATCACCATTGAGACACTCGTCTACAAATCATCCATCCAGCCAGTGCTTTACATGCAAGCGGGCCACAGTTTAACCGTTCTTCAAGAACTGCCCCACGTTTTTGTCATTGCACTCAAAACAAAGAAATACTGCTCAACGTCCCTAGGCCTGCAGTGGTCAATAAGAACCATGGCGTTATGAAGGCATCTGTGCGCCCAGCGCACGCCTAGTCCAAGCATAACTACATTCTGCCATAACCGCCACGAATACAAACGCAGTCATGTCGGCACGATCATTGGTGGCCACACAAGTACACGGGCAACCAACGTGCATGCACCAAGTCCCCAAAGCAGTGCTGCTTGCTGCAACACTTAGAAAAAAAACACGGTACGCACGATCACAGATAGCAACGAGGCAGTTCTGAAAATGCGTGCACTGCCAGCAGGCACAAAATAAAACGGAACCACAGTTTGCCGCAACTGCTGTGCAGGAAACTGTTGTCCCAATCTTAACTCTTTCCTTACCGCCAGGAAAAGACCCGTTTTCATGTGGTGCAGAAAAAAAGTTTATCGTTATATAACAATTCTTTTTGTTGATTGTAATGCACCAAAATGTAGACAAATAAATGCGCTTTTTAATGATATAGATACAAAACATGTGTTTGCAACACAATAGCAGAAAAAAAATCCCAAACAACAAATTTCTCGCAACTTCCGCAAAAAAAATGTGGAAAGTAAGCATGGTGGGCACAAATATCTCAGTAAAAAAAATTCAAGATATGCGTTTTGTGGCATATTTACATAGCTAACTATCCTAAAAGTTTCAACAGTACACATAAAATATTGTTAGCACAGCAGAAAAAAAGTTAGCACTTGTGATTACGAGACAATTTTCTGAGGGTGCAACAAAAAAAATTTTATCCGCAGATAAAAAATATTTTAGATGTTCTGCAGCCCATGAAAATGTATAGGAATAAATGGTCTATTTATTTCAATAAATTTAGAACAAGTTTTTATTACACAGTAAGAATAAAAAAATAAACGAAAAATTCTCAAGGACACAAGTTTTTTTTTTTAAAAAAAAGTGGGTGTAACAAGCGAAAAGGTGGCAATAAAAATTCTGAATATACATTGGTTAGGTAGTAGTTACTTCTAAAGACCACAGAGGTTACAAGAGTACACGTAAACAACTGTGAGACTACACAAAAATGTTATTCCTTGTGACGGCGGTGCCACTCACCAAAGCAGTCTCTGGTCGCGATGAAGCACAAGTAAACGCCACACGTTTCACAAAAGACGCTCGTCTTGTGCTCAACCTTGCGGCTCGCTAATAAGAGCTTGCAGTTGCGCCTCGTTTCCATCACTTTTGGCTTGTGCACAGACTCTCGAGGGGGAGGGGCGCTGCCAAAACCTGTGGCTTCAATTCCCAGTAGCTGCTTCACAAGCTCCATTCGGAAGGCAAGCTGGTCGTAACGAGGCGCTCGGTGCAGTTCTGGAATTTCGGGGTGCTCTCTCCTATGGGCCTCAAAAAGAATAAAACTGTTCACAACAGCGATGTCGATGCAGTGGAAGAACAAAGTTTTCCACCACCTGACGCACTTCATCAACACATTGTACGATGCGATGAGCTGGTCTAACCTGTCTACTCCAAGCATGCCTGCATCATATTCTTCAATTAGTCTTGGTTTCCTAATTGGGACCTTCTTCCATTGGCCAGCGACCTTTAGTTTCCATGTTGCAGTCACATGGCTGTTCGCAGTATGGGCAGTGCTCATCATGTGCACTGCGCGTCTGTCCTTCCATTGAAGGTACAGGACGCCTTGATGCCGCAGCCAGCGAACATCTCCCCTCTTGGCCTTTTTCTCCCATGTGGAGTCCTTCAATTCCGCAGGGAACGTGTGACGATCCTTCCGTGTCGTTCCACAAGCAAGAGTCTTCCGCTCCAGGAGGTGTAAAAAAAGAGACGACGAGTAAAAATTGTCCATGAATAGTGTGTATCCCTGGTCAAAATACATTTCACACAGGCTAGTCACGACATCAAATGCAAGTCCATTTACGCTCGGTGTCTCACGCTTCCCGGTGTAGACACTAAACTGCACTGTGTAGCTGGAATTGGAGTCGGCGAGGACCCACAGGTTGTATCCCCACTTGACAATCTTGTCGCGAAGATACTGTCGTATTCACGAACGGCCTTTAGATTTCACCATTCTTTCGTCCACGGAAATGTAATGGTTTGGCTGGAAATTGAGCGCAGATGCATCATTGATGTGCCGAAGTAAAAAAGCAATTCGGTGCAGCTTGCCGTCTGTAGCGGGATTGGTAGCTTCATGATCCGTCACGCTCAGCATACCGAGGAAGGAGAAAAAACGTTTTCTTGGCATAACCCCACGTGGGATTAGCCCAGAAAACAACTCTGCTGTACTCCAATAGAGGTGCAGGCGAGGCAGTTGCACTATCCCCATGTAGATGAGTCCGGTGAACCTCATCATTTCATCTGGGGAAACATTTTTCCTCGATCCGTCGCGTTCCGAGTACGTTGGTTTCTCGAGAATGTGCGCCCAGGCGTATTTATTTGTGTTCTTGCACATCGCTGTGACGAGTTCCGTTGTGAAAAACAGCAAGAAGAAATCCAGGGCTCGAAGAAACCGACTAGCGCTGCTCTGTCGCGCCATGCCCAGATCGACTCCCGGTTTCCGTCTTGGACAAAACTGCACGCGCTCTGCAGCGGGAGGCATTGAATCGCGCCCATAGGACGTATAGACCCTACGGATAGAAATAATAACTGTGACAACACGCTCGGTCCCCTCGCAGGCGCTCAACAACGCGATAAATCCCGTAAAAAAAACTCACCGTCGAGCTGACGTAGACGTTCCCGGTGTGTTGAGGGCCTCATCGCTGTCGGTGCTAAACTCCGATGATAGGGAATCTTCTTCAGGGCCACTGCTACCACTTTCATCCGAAAAATCTACTGTAACAACACTAGAATCACGAGAAATACGACGATTCCTTTCAGACCCGGTGCGCGACGAGGACGGCATGGCTGCCGCTATCGCCAGACGCTCGCTTATCTTCCAAGCAAGGTCAAAAATCACCGGGTCTCCAAAAACCAAAACGGAAACTGACACGGGTTGTGTGCTTCCTGAGCTTCGTTTCAGATGGCGCCTCATGTCCATACGGCGCGTTGGGGCGCAGGAATTTCAACTTGAACCCATCGATCAGATTGACCGAAATTGAATAGGCGCGGTAAGGAAAGAGTTAATCATCGAGGACAGGTACAGAGCTAACATAGTCAAGGATGAAAGGTGACAAAGCTGTAAAATAGCATGAAGCGTTACAAGATTCCTATCCTTTTCTATGGCAGTGTGGAGCTTCAGTACTAAATTTTCAGTTCGCCTATAGGAAGCTTTGGCACAGTCATTCGTAGCGCTGCGTGCTCGGCAAGCTTAGGGTAGTCTGACTATAGTAATTTCTAATGTATAATCCACCTCTGCTACGAATAGCACTCCCGACTGCAAACTGCAAGAAAAAAAAAAGACGCGTACCAATGCAAGGCCGTCTTTCTTGCATTACAATGAAGGAGTGCCTTGAAGTGAACTTATGCACTGAAATTCGCGAATAACTCACACCGAAAGTATAACTGCCAATTTTCCGTATATTTTGTGTGTGTTATATGCATGAGAAGACACATTTACTTCGTGAGCAGCCAAGTATGCCTGAATTAGAGTTCAATGCACACACTGACTGGGACCAAAGGACGAGTCGCAGTCATTACATCTCATTGAATTTTCAGGTCTGTAGACAAAATTTGGACGCAATAAAATTTTGAGACAACAAACTTTTTTGCACGTTCCATCAATTCTGTTGTAGCGAGATTTGACCATATTTGAAAAATGACAGCCAAGTATATAATTTTAAAAATTGTAAGCGAATCTTTATTCTCAATAAAAAAATTATGAATCTAATGCGCACTTTTTCTCCAATAAAATGATTCCAAGAAAATGCCTGTGCTTAAGTATAGAGTTTAAAATTGATATCACATTGGCAATAGCTTCTTGTCAGAGGGGTCAGCCACAATGCCCCTGCCATAAAAAAATGCAGGGGAGCAATAGACGAAATAGAATTTAAGCAATTTTAGAAGCAGCGGTATGTTACCTTTAGAGCATTGAAATGCAAATTTGGAGCAGGTTATCGGGAAATAAACATTCATTTTTTATCAGAAAATACCAAATTTTTTACATTCAAGAAAAAATATGCACCCACCATCCAACATCCCTTAAATCAGGCAGAGCACTGATATTTCAATAGAAGTAGTATCTTCAACCACCCCACTCGGCAAGCAGTTTCGGTCCGACGAGAACCTACGTCAACGGACATCGTGGGAGCCTTGAAGATTCGCTCCTAACAGCCTTACAACCAAAACTAGCCAACAATTCTAGGTTGGTTTCTTAACTTCATATTTCAAGTTAAGACAAAATGGGTTGACCTACAATCGTGTAACTACAGTACTTTTCTCACAAACAGCTCCCCCTGCTGTGCCAGGCAGACAAACCTGTAAATAAGATACATCATACAGAGAACTGCCTGGTTTTGCGTTATTACAGACACAACTGTGCAGCCCTGATCGCACACATATCTGATGCACACACACATGCAAGTGCCAACACATGTCAGTTTTGAAGTGACAGCAAGGAACTCACCTGGACAACACTAAGCCTGTGCTTGAGACGAAGCTTCTCTATCATGCCGGACGTGAGAAATCCGTACTTGCTATACGAGTCATAGACTAGAGTCAAAATGTCCACGGTTTCCTGTGGAAAGCACAAACAGAAAAAGCAAAGCATTAAGGACACAGCAAAAATGTTTGCACAGTATCAGTGACTTGCCATACCAAATTTTGAAAAACATTTTATGGAATGCTGCTCGTAGGGCGAGAGGAGGCCTAGTGCGATAGAAAATTGGGAAAAAAATAAAAAATTTGTGGCTTCTTCAACACTTGCGTCAGCAAAAGATAGGTGCTCCAAGACAACTTGTTGATGGTGCACACCAAACTGATGTGCATCAAGTGTACATTGCCATTCTTTAGCTCTTCTGTTAATTTCCACAAAGTAAACAGTTTTTCATCATCCTCGAGAGCGGTACAATAATTGTTTAGAAATTTCGTTAGTGCACTGAGCTTTACCAAAATTATTCGCCCATTGCGATGTGCATCATAATCAAATGAAGCTATCGCAAGTGCGACTTTTGTTCTGCCGGCAAATCAGGCAATGTCTCGCATTTTCAAAGCCTTTGGGTTTCATGATGTAAGATGTTGCTGTTGCTACAACCACGTAAACTTACAAGCATGGTAGGCCTTTGCAGGATAACTATAAACGTACAAATTTTCTGATTGCTTGCCGTTTAAAGAGCTTGGAAGAAAGAGGAGGATTTTTTCTCTCATAGTTATTTGACAGATTGTTATCGGGGGTGCGGCTTATGTGCAGGGACGAGTCATACAAAAGCGAACGCGGTGAGTGTGCAGTGTTTAGCAATTCATCGCTGAAGATTTTCTGCGTTCATACACGGCGCACCACAATTTGCATCTTTAGAAAACGACTTCAAGCGCCGCAACGTTATACCTTGGACCCCGTGGTGGGCTGGAATGCCGACCGTGAACAGACAGCTGCCTGTGGGTTGTGCACGTTCTCGAGGTAGCTGCACAGCACCATCATGGCCTCGCCGTCGTCCTTGCAACTGAGCAGGCGCTCCTGGTTGGCCTCGAGCACGGCGAGTGCCACTTGGAAGACCACCTGTAGAACCACACAAGTGCTCGCTTGATCAAAGGTGTTAGAAGCGTGTGACCAAGGAACAAGTACGATGCAACGCTACCTGCCATATATGAACAGTGACACCTGGAGTGACGACAGCTCGCAGGGTCCCATATGCATTTGCCCCACAAAAATCGGAGGAAAAATGTCACCATCTTTTTGTTTTCTTCCGAGTTTATGTATCGATGCTCCCATGATCCCCCTCAGAAACCTTTCTGCACCTCATGTGGTTTGATGTAGCAGTATGGGCTAGTTGAAATATGATGAAAAAAGCAAAAGACAGATGCGTGAGCCAGCCTCCAAGGTTTCATATCTACAGCATGCGTGACTAGATGCTTGGTCGGGGTTTATAAGACTTTTTAGTGCCTTCCTTTATATTCATATATGTCCCATTTTCTTCCCAATAAACTTTCTGTTGTTAGACATGGCTTGTGTCGTGTACTTCCTTGTTTTTCTGTCCTTTGTTACATTGACCGGTTAATGCAAAACATAAAAAAACCGCTCTAGAACTTCATATCATCTCAAGTCACAATGCCACTTCAACGAAATGGAAGAATTGTTTATGCTTAGTTTCACAGAAAAACGAAAGAAAGGCTGTAATGAATGAGACACAAAGACAGCCTCCATTCCTGGGCTGGCTACTCTACTCTCTCCTTCTTTCTCTTCTCCATGCTATTCGAGCGCGTGCTCACGCCCGAGTGCCACTCCATCGTCCTTACAATACACAACTGTTCACAAGATGGACACATCTTTACATCATTCGGCATGAAGATAGGCGATTAGGCGTGCTTGCACATTTGTCACAAGATGTCATACTCCCACACAGCTCCGAATTTACTTAAAGATATTTCTTAGGACCTGCATATTCCGATATAAAACAGGTGCTAATACTATCTGAAGGCGCAGTAAACCAATATTTATTGGTCTTCATTCAAGTCCATCAGGACTCTCATTCTGCACAGCTCACAAGTCCTGCCGCATCCGTCGACCGTATTGGCAGGTGGCCTTATAGGCCTCTGACTTATCATGTGTGACGTTGCAGACACCTCGGGGCACATAATTAGTGTTGCTTCAGCAGCATTGCCTGCTCTGTCTGAAAACATGAGCAATGATCACGCTGCACATAAACAGAGACACCGAAAAAAAAGGGGGGTACACGATTCTCGAAAGCCAGAAGACGCGAGTGCTGTTGAACTGCGGATACTTCTCTCATAAATAGTGATAATGATGATAACGGACTGGTGCCTTTGATATTATAACAGGTGGTGGACACTACTTCTTAAGAATAAAGCATTCTTTACACTTCTTAAGAATAAAGTAACTTATTAAAAATTTTTATTGCATCAACTTTGTGAGTTAATGCTTGAAAAAACAACTGTACAACTGCAGAATAGCAGGCGAGACAACAGTAACCTTCGATGTGACCATGAGCATTGCTGCCTCTGTGCTGTTTAAATTGCAAGCAGCTGACATCTGTATCTACTGTTGCTACATGTTAACAACAACATAAGCTTTCTTTATTTAAATACTACTGCATATGATTTACTACACTCAACAAAAAAGAGCACATACTTATAGTGCCAGAGGACATTACATTTTCCACATACAGTACAGATAAATACAATATTGCTGCAAGCATTGCTGGTAAGTTGTACCGTATGATAAAAGTCGCAACAACTGAAATTGAAAAATGTCTCACCTTGGCGCCGTCATAGAAGAAGCAGTCAACGATGTTGACAGCAGACTCAAATGGGATCACACTGCATAACCGAGAAAAACAAAAACAGTAAAACGGTGTCAAGTGATTGATTCATGTTAAGTTTGAATGGTGTAAGAAAATCTTTTGCCGAATCACGCCAAGTGCGCACGCCACCACAGGACAGGGCGCGAGCGTAAGAAACTTGCCAAGCAAGTTCCTAAAAAAAAAAACACAGCCAGGACTGGGCAAAACATCAAGCACTGTCGCAGTGAAAGCCGGATGAGCGGTCTTTTCAGAGCCTTTTTTAAACACTCATTGGGTAAGTGCTACGAGCACACTTGCATGTTATCAACTATGCCGCAAATCATAACCTTTGTGTTTTAGGGAAGCCTTCACTATGCCGTTCTTGAGAGAAGCACGGTACATCCTACAAACTTGCAAAGAATTATGCACATTTCATTGATGCTGTGGCTGACGACGATGAAGAATGAGGCCCGACACCTTTGTAACAGGTCGGAGCATTCGATAACCCACTTGTTATGCAATTCGCATTGCCTGAGGCCTGATTGTTCTTTTGCTGCTTTAAAACACTTAAAAAGCACATATTAGCACAATTCCTTTCTCAACACGAAGCCAGCCTATGGTCAGTTTGCAATGTAGTTTCAAGCACCAGTATAGCTCTGAGGTAGAATATTGGGCTGGCATACAGTGGACACAGGTTTGGATATCCTTAGTATATTTCTTTATTTTTTTTAGTTCTTGCTTATTTCGAGCGATAGTGATTACAAACACCGGTGGTGCCGGCAGCAGCTGACAACTACAAAACCCGAATATGACGTTTTCGATTTCATAACAGCTTTTGCTATAAAACAGACCTTTTGACCGGATGTTGGGGAAAAGGGGGGGATAACAAAGAGAATAAATTACTATTGAACAACAGACGTCCTGTCCTATCTTTGGCATGCAGTGCAATTTAATGTGACATTGCTTTCCTTGAGCCAAATAAACCTTACATACAAACAAAAACAGTACCACCCAGTTAACTAACTAGTCTAACTGCTGGCAAAAAATCACCCTTGATTGGAATGGCATTTCGCTTATTGCTCTGCGTTGCACTGGTAAGGAGCAGCAATACTTGGCCTATTAAACTATTCTTTGCACCTGAATCCACTTGAACTGTGGCATTAGAGGCACAAACAAATGTTAAAAGAGGAGCTGTGCGAATAGCAAAATTTTGGGTTTGAAGCGAATTCGAATATCAAAGAGTGAGTCGAATAGAATATTTTTCAAATATCTCGAAGCAAAATAGTAGAAAAAAAAGTTGGAGAGGACTCCTAAGCATATTCGTATCAGATGGCAACACAAAAGTGTTTCCTTCGCTAGGCTGATAAAGTGATGGTGGGTTCCCATTTAACAGTTGTCTTATCAAGAATGAGGCAATGCAGAGGCCGAATCGTATTCATGTACATAATTTGGTGGAACCAGTCACGTACACACTGACAACACCTTACACGTGAGAGGCAAAGATGCTATCTACATCTGAAATTTTGAATGCTAAAAATGTTTGGAATCCAATTTTTGAACCTCATGCCCAAATTTCAGGTCCCAAAAGTATTAACTAAGCCCCCATCTCTGCCACATTCATCATCTCGATTGGAACCAGCATTTTCTTTTTTTATTAAATACATTAGCGACCATAACAGAGCCTGAAAGGCAGTTTTGCTGCAATACGAGAATGTGACAGGTGAAACATATTAAAAATCTGAAGGGGCCACTTACAGTCAGACATTGACTACATAAGTTTCTGGGAAGTTTGAATAGTAAAATTTCATTGGAAATCGAATCAAATAGAAAACACCTACTCAAGAGAAAAATCTAAAGTTCCAAATGTTCACACCCCTAGTTGAAATGCATACAGACTGTATGCCACGAAAATGCCAGATATTCGTGTATATACAGGCGCAATAATGTGCTCTATTCCAATGTTCGATACACTTGACGGGGTCTTAAATGTTATTGACTAATAGTGTATGAGTTCTGGTGATTAACGATACATATTTACTGATGTAGTTGCTGAACTAACGGTTATAAATTGTCCCAGAAAATAAATAATTGTGATATCATGACAAGAACTGAAAAAGAAGAAACGGCCAATGCGAGACTGTGCGGACCGGCAACCAAATTGGTTGCATCCCTACCTACTGCTTGACCAATTGCGGTTTTTCAAACACCACCAGACAATGCAGCACTCACCTAAGAAAGATGGTGAGAAACCAGGAAAGCGAAATCATGGACAGCACGCCCAGCGAGTCCAGCTTGGTGTAAAGCTCTGGGATGTGGTCCCTGGCCAGGTCTTCCAGTACACCTGTACATGACAGTGCAATGATGCGAGTTTTGGTGCACATACATGCAACATCAAAACACAGACTCCAATACAAGTACAGTTGATCCCGTGCATATCGGACTTAGATATATAGAACAATTCGCTATATCAAGCAGTTTATAAATCGCCCTTCAATTTCCCATGCAAAAGTATGGAACTGTTACAAACGTATAACAAACCCACATAAAGCGTAACAACCGATATATCGAATGTTGCGCCGGTCAGAAGCTCAGGAAGTGCATTTATTTTGACAAAGACTGCTCATTTTTCGGCTGCATTATAACAAGTTTCAATTTCTCCTCATGCGCAGGTGATGAAAAGGCGGTGTAGTTTGTTGGTTGCACGGAGTTTGTGAGTGCCCCAGCGCATGATACGTGATGTGTTGTAGGTCGTAACGCATAGACACTGTTTCCAAAGAGGCCGAGGGCACCAAAATCGCATGAATGCGAAAGTGACTTGGTGGTCTCGTCGTGACGTGAGCAATGGATGGAAACAAATTTATTGAAAGCTCGGCGATGTTCACAACACGGGCTCAGCTGTCCCATGAGGGGACTTCAAGGCCTTGCCTCGTCGCCAGGCCTGCTGGACTGCCCACTCTTGTGTCTTGAAGTTGGGGCTCAGCAGAGCGGCTGCCCACTTCGACGCAAGAGCATCTGGAGCTACTTCCATTTGAGCTGCTGTAACAGAGCACTTCCACAACATGTGCAAGAGTGTCCCTCAAGTTGCCTGACAAAATTTGCAAGTAACACTCTGGTATTGTGCAGGGAAAATGTGCCGCAATCGCACTGGACTGAGGAAGGTGTCTGCAGCTGTTGCTAGACGACTGTCCGGCGTCGTTTCAGCTTAGGGTGAGTTGGGGGCCATATCCGCCTGCCTGACTGGTAGAGCTTGGTAATGTCGTTATACGTCACTAAGCGTTCTCTCATGTTTTGAACCAGGAGGTCCGAACTCGATGAGGCGGTCTCAGACTCTGCGCAGCGGGTCACTTCTTGCGCAAAGCGGTGTGCCACCTCATTCGAATTGGGGGGCCTTTGTCGGTGGAGGTGGTGACATGTGCTGGGAACCACAGAATCACGGTGCTATTGAATTGCTGTTGACCACCCTTCCTCAAAATCTGTACAGCTTCAAGAGAAATGCGTCCGCACGCGTAGTTATGAACTGGAGATTGCGAGTCACTAAAAACTGCCTTGCAGATGGGGTCGGTAAGCGCAAGCGCAACCTTTTCTACGGTGTCTGGATACTTTGTACTGACACTACACGCATGGGTAAGCCAGGAATTGACATCTACAAATACCGCCATGAACTGGTGTTCGTGTGTGTATTCTGCCGCGTCCACGAAGTGCGCAGTCCTTCACCTACCGAAGAAGCGCAGCAGTGCCGTTGCAGAAGCCTGGCGTCGGCCCCCGTTATGTTCCAGGTGCATATTTCTAGAAATAGGGGCAACTATCAGCGTGTCGCTGATGTCGTGTGAAATGTCCTCTCTCTGACCTTGTTGGATGCGGTAATTCAGGCAGAGTTTCTGCAGGATTTACCGACCCGTGGCTGTCTAGGACATACGTTCGAGTTGCGAGACTGCGCGTCCACTACTTGTTCAAGATGTACATCCCCAGTTCTTGTTTGTTCACGCATGATGGCATGCGGGCTTGAAAAGCACGGCCTTCGAGATCCACAACCTAGTGACGTATTTTTGGCTTTTCGGTATTTAGAATACACGTCTTGGAGGCTAGCTTTTTCTTGCTTTTCGTTTGCTGCTATAAAGCCCCTAGTGCTATCTAGCCTATTATCAAGATATCAATGGTAGGGTGCATGGTCATCTGCTGTTTGCAGACAGGGATGTCACTTTCGGCATGTGCACTTCTATAGTTCTAGATTCGTTACTGTTGGATCGTCCATTGGGAGTTGAACTAAACATTGTATTGCTCTTAGCAATAAAAATGATGGCTAGAGCTTAGAACGATGTCAAGCAAGGCACCATCGTGCACAGTTCTCTCGTGGGTTTTGTTGACAGGTGATGACTACTAGTCTTAGCTGACAACGGTGTACTGTGCCTCAGTGAATTTTGCTGCTTATTAGCATTTCGAGGCACCACCTCGGACCTGCTAAGAGAGACTTTATCGGTGCAGATGAAGACATCGCTGTTTCTGACTACATCGATGCTGATGTCATGGCTGACGTTGCCGGTTCTGCGGAAGTGTGCCTGTGCGGTTATGAAGATGCTAACGCCTCTGCTAAACAATACTTTACTGTGCTACAGAGCTTGCATCAGGGCTCACCGCCAATCACCACTATTGTGGCTGAAGGGCCTGGATGTGATTATTTTTAAAGCTCCAATGCTTGATTATTGAGGATGACTTGAACGTGATGGTGCGCAAAGCGTAAGACAAGTCTAGGGCCTATTTCTTCTGAAACTAAGTGTGGTAACTTGCAAAAGAGGTTTTCACTTTTTATTAAGCATACTGTAAGCGAATCGTCGTGCTAACGTTTAATACGATTTGCGAAATTCGTTACAAAACACGCATATTTGTTATATCGAATTATCGATATACAGTCGAGCCCACATATAACGGCTCCACTTAAAACGAACAATATATGCGTGAACGCGAAAATATACATTGGTTCAATGGCACAAAATCGCACTTACAACAAATGTCTCCGAGCGCTGCAGATCGGTTACAGCAAACAGAATCGGCGCTCTACCGACTTCCCGGGAAACCACTTTCTACCACCGATAAGACATCGGGCAGGTGCCCATACATTCTTATTGTTAAACGCTGACCCTGCCTCTGTGCCCTTCTAGTTGCTGCTCTCCCCGACCACTTCGGTGGGGTAGCGTACGCACACGCAAATGCTACCCCACTGACTCTGATAATTTGTGATTTCTTTCGTGTTTATGACTTGTTCTCGCTCACTTCGCACTCTGCTCAGCATGCCCTCCGCACGCGTTCGAAAACGTGAAAATGGCTGTTAACTTGCGCGGAAGGAATCGCGAAATATCAAAGTTGGTGAGGCCACGCAAACCCGCCGGCGCAACAAAACGATTTTTTGACCACGGCTGCTGATTCTTTGAACACCGCAGCACACGCAGGCACTCTTTCAAAAGAATGGCTAATTGGGCTGGTTGGTATGGCATTTTGAAAGAAATTGACTTTTCTTAGTGCGCAGAAAATGTTTGAGAAAGAAGATAGAGCAGCGAGATAGGACAGAGCGCACACCAGCCAGAACACCTGCGCACACCGCCAGCCATGCGTTCTGTCCAAACCCGCTTCCCTTCTCTGGGAATCCAGTCAGTTACCCTCAATGAACAGCAGTTATCCTGTCTACGCGCTACATGCCCGGCCCATGTCAATTTCCACTTCTTTATTTCAACTATGATATCCTTAACCCCCGTTTGTCCCCTAATCCACTCTGCTCTCTTCTTGTCTCTTAAGGTTACACCTACCATTTTTCTTTCCATTGCTCGCTGCGTCGTCCTCAATTTAAGCTGAACCCTCTTTGTAAGTCTCCAGGTTTCTGCTCCGTAGCTAAGTACCAGCAAGATACAGCTGTTATATACCTTCCTCTTGAGGGATAGTGGCAATTTACCTGTCATAATTTGAGAGTGCTTGCCAAATGTGCTCCACCCCATTCTTATTCTTCTAGTTTCTTCAATCTCGTGGTTCGGCTCCGCGGTTATGACCTGCCCTAAGTAGACATACTCTTTTACAACTAGAAGTGCACTATTACCTATCTCGAAGCGCTGCTCTATTCCGAGGTTGTTGTACATTACTTTCGTTTTCTGCAGATTCATTTTAAGACCCACCTTTCTGCTCTCCTTGTCTAACTCTGTAATCATGAGTTGCAATTCTTCCCCTGAGTTACTCAGCAATGCAATGTCATCGGCAAAGCGCAGGTTACTAAGGTACTCTCCATTAACTCTTATCCCTAGCTGTTCCCATCCTAGGCTTCTGAAAACCTCCTGTAAGCACGCGGTAAATAGCATTGGGGAGATTGTGTCCCCCTGCCTTACACCCTTCTTGATTGGTATTCTGTTGCTTTCTTTATAAAGCACTATGGTAGCAGTTGATCCCCTGTAGATTTCTTCCAGGATGTTTATATATACTTCATCTACGCCCTGATTCCGCAGTGTCTGTATGACGGCTGATATTTCTAGTGAATCAAACGCCTTCTCGTAATCTATGAAGACTATGTATAGTGGTTGGTTATATTCTGAGCATTTCTCTATTACCTGATTGATAGTATGAATGTGGTCGATTGTTGAGTAGCCTGTTTGAAATCCTGCTTGTTCCTTTGGTTGATTTAATTCTAATGTTTTTTTTACTCTGTTAGCAATTACCTTTGTAAATAGCTTGTATACTACAGAGAGAAAGCTAATCGGCCTGTAATTCTTCAAGTCCTTGTCATCTCCTTTCTTATGTATTAAGATGATGTTAGCGTTCTTCCAAGACTCTGGTACACTTTCCGTCAGGAGACACCTCGTAAACAGGGTGGCTAGTTTTTCTAACACAATCTGTCCTCCATCTTTCAGCAGATCTGATGTTACCTGATCCTCACCAGCAGCTTTGCCTCTTTGCATGCTCTCAAAAGCTTTTCTGACTTCTTCTATCATTACTGATGGGGTGTCATCTGGGTTACTGCTAGTTCTTATAGTATTAAAGTCGTGGTTGTCCCTGCTACTGTACGGATCTCTGTAAAACTCCTCCGCTATTTCAACTATCCTATCCATATTGGTAGTTATTTTGCCCTCTTTGTCCCTTAGTGCATACATCCGATTTTTGCCTATCCCAAGTTTCCTCTTCACTGCTTTGACGCTTCCCCCGTTTTTCAGAGCGTGTTCAATTCTGTCCATGTTATACCTTCTTACATCGGATACCTTACGCCTATTAATCAACTTCGAAAGCTCTGCCAGTTCTGTTTTGTCTGTTGTACTTGAGACTTTCATGATTTGGCGCTTCTTAATAAGATTCTTCGTTTCCTGGGAAAGC